TTGTCCACACTTCAATTCTCCTGGTCCTCATCAGACCTAAGCGCCTCCTGGACTTCGTCCCCCCAGCCATCCATGGCTGCCACTTGGGTTTGTGGCACCTCCACCAAAGCCTCCGTCATGCTCTCTCTGGTGTGTCACTGCCTGCAGCGATAATCTTGTGAGCACTCCACTCCAGTGCGAGCTGACATCCGAGGTTCGGCATCAGCCGTGGTAGCTGGTAACAAAAGGAAAGCAAAGTGTTCATGATGTGGTCAAATTTCCTTCCCCCGCCCCCAAGCATTCAAGAGGATGGTGACCCACCTCCGGTGCTGCATGCACTAACTCCCCTGCACATGCAACCCACAGGCAGTGCCACTCATACCAATAAAGTTTGAATGCAGCCCCTAGTTGCTGCTTTGTGGGTGGGGGGTTTCTTGTGCTGCATGCCAGCTCCCTGTCACCCCATTCGCGATTGCAGAAGAGGTCACCCCACAGTCAGGCACACAACAGACCCATGACAGCTGGCAGCCCTTAATTGAGAACAGCACAGTTCAGTCCTGGAATGAACTGCTTGTGTGCCTCAGGGGGGCAGGGCATTGACTGCTTTCATTTCCCTTTCACTCAGCCCCCGCCTTTTTTTATGTGCTGGCTGCCATGCACCCAGGGCAAAGGCCCCGGGCACAGATCCAGGGGACACATTCCCCCCATGCTTGCCCAGAAGTGCATGCTGCAGTGGGATCCACCCTTCCCCCACCCCCATGCCCCCCCAAACTCGCTGCTCACCCCTCCCCTTGCTACGACACTGCCTGCGTACACCAAAACACCTACCAGAGTGGCACACATGGAAAAAATTCACATGCCTCAAAACTTCTAAGTCCTCCATTCAGAGGCACAACCCCGGCTGACATTGCCCATTGTAGCTAAAGCAGTTCAAGGAAAACAATGAGTTTGTGTTGTGGTGAAATATTCTTCACCCACCTCCACAAGAGGACAGTGACCCACTTCCAGCACTACATGCACTAACCCCGCAACACATCCAAACCAGATGTACTGAAACAGTGCCTGCCAGAGTGGCCTAAATTAATATAATGCCCATTCCCCAATACTTAAAAGATCCTGGTCACACATCCTCTTGTGTCCCAGGAACAAAAACCATTCTTTGGGTCTCAGGAACAGAAATCACATCTGAAGTGGTTTCCTCCTTCTCCTCCTCCTCATCTGTGCTGCTCCATAGAATAGGAGAGATTGGGGTCACGATCAGGGTCACCTCTTCTTGGGTGTCCCTCTCATCCAGCACCATGGAGCAGTCTCCTCAGTGCTCCAACGTGGTCATGGTTTCTGTCTCAGGACACTGTGTGCTTTCCAGGACAACATCAGTCCTGAACGACTGGAGACAGAAAGCCTTGGAGAGAATGACAGACAGCTGGTTGTGGAAAGGAGCAATTGTGTGCCCTACCACAGAACAGGAGATCTCATCCTTGCCCCAATGAAACATACATCACAGGGCCTTGATCTTGCTCTGGCACTGTGTTTAGTCCTGGTTGGACCCTCGCACCTTCATTTCTTCGGCAGTTGAATACACCAACTTATTCCTCCTACTTTTAAGCTGTTCTATGATCTTTTCCTCCGACCAAATGTCAACCACGTCCTTCAGTTCTTCCCGGGTCCAGTTGGGGACCCAATTAATGGATGTATTAGCCTCCTGATTTGTTGCCTGCATACTGCTGGACTTGGTTTTCTGAGACATCAGAGAAGCTGTTCGTGGACAAGATGTTGTCAAGACCAAGGTATTCTGACAACAACTGAATCATGAAAAGTTGCTTGCAAACTTTGTGAGGCTGTTATATAAATATGTCTTGAACAAACCCTTTTGAAAATTCCACGTACTCATAATTGTGAAGGTGTCAACTGTGTCTCAGAACTGGCAGTCAGGACAATGTGATCAAGTACCCTTTACAAACAAAGCAATGGTGATAGGCTTAGCCTGGTCCAAATTGCCCCTATTGTCCATTGATAATGTTCCAATGATGATCACATCTACTTGTGTCTATACCTGTGCCTGGCTGCTCTTCCTACAGACCTAAGTTCCCCTAGCCTCACTGTGCCACTGAATCAAGGGCATTGTGTCCCCAGTGGGCACCCCTTTGAGAGGTGTTAATTGTATCTATTGAGACATAGCACTGTCCATCACGCATCCAATTCAAACCTTGCCTAGTGCATGGGAAGGCTCTTTTCTGGGGAGAGGGGGCTTTCAAGCCAGGGTTCTTGCAGGTCAACTTCTTTTTTTCTGGGGAGGGGTTGGTTTCAAACCAGGATTCTTGCAGGGCAACTTTTTTTTTCCTGGGGAGAGCTGGCTTTCCAGCCAGAGTACACCAGGGTTCTTGCAAGGTAACTATTTTTTTCTGGAGAGAGGTTGGTTTCAAACCAGGATTCTTGCAGGCCTAGGTTCCTGTCTGGGGAGAGATGACTTTCAAGCCAGGGTTCTTGCAGGGCAACTGTTTTTTCTGGGGAAAACTGGTTTTCCAGCCAGGGTAAGCCAGGGTTCTTGCAGGGCAATGTTTTTTTTGCTGGAGAGACATGACTTTCAAGGCAGGGTTCTTGCAAGGCAACTTTTGTTTTTCTGGGGATAGCTGGCTTTCAAGCCAAGGTTCTTGCAAGAAAACTGTTTTTTTGTTGTTTTTTTCTAGGGGAGAGATTGGTTTCAATCCAGGATTCTTGCAGGCCCAGGCTCCTGTCTAGAAAGAGCTGGCTTTCCAGCCAGGGTAAGCCAGGGCTGTTGCAGGGCAACTTTTTTTTTTTCTGGGAACAGCTGGATTTCCAGCAACAGTAAGCCAGAGTTCTTGCAGGGCAACTTTTTTTTTTTTTTCTGGGGACACCTGGCTTTCAATCCAGGGTTCTTGCCAGGCAACTTTTTCCTCTGGGGTACTACAGAGCAAGGCTCTTTTCTAGGGAAATGTTTGTTTCAAAACAGGATTATTGCAGGTCAGGCCTGTTTTCTGGCAAGCTGCTGCTTTCAAAGGTCAGTAACTCGAGAAGGAGGAGGCACACCCAACAACTATACTATTTTCTGAGTAAATACTTCTCGGATATGCCTATTCCAGGGGCAGGCAATTATTTCAGGTGGAGGGCCACTTAACAAGGTTTGATCAGCTGTTCAGGGCTGCATAGTTAGCCCCACCCCTTAACAGGTGCCATGCCCCCTGGTTGCCATTTTAGGACCAGAAGTCCCACCTCTAACCCCTGACCTTGATAACCAGAAGTCCATCCCCTTGTCCCCCAGAAATACTTCTTTTGGGAGGGGAGAGTTGCCATCTTAGAACCAGAAACATCCAAATTATACACTAAAAGTCAAACGCCTACTATAACGTATTTTAAGTCACCATGGCTTGGCAGGGGAGGCAGTAAGTGGGGGTTAGCATGAGGCTCCCCAGGGGAGGAGTGGTTCAGGGACTGAGGAGGGGGTGGATTACTGGTGTATTACTTACTGGTTTACATGTGGCTGCCCTTGCTGGAATTTACAGGGAATTGCACACTGGGCTTAATTCAATCAAAAGTCTAGTATGTGCAAACACTGACACAATGCTCCAAAATAAACAAGTTTAAATTTTAGAAACCTATTTAATTTAACAAGGATTAAACCCCATAATGTGTACAGGAACCCTAGGACTCCTACTTTCTAAATGAGTACCTTTATTAAAGGGCAACAGAGTTCTGCTCCTCAGCTGCTCTTTCCTTCTGGTTTCACAAACCATTTTTATACATGTTTTTATACCGCACTTGTTGTGCTATATCACATTTAGGGGACAAAGCAGAAATAATCCAACAGTATATGATAAGGATGAGGCAAAGTCCTGTGGTAAAAATATGTTTTATCTTATTAGAGAATGTAAGCAAACTTTTGAAAATTGTCTAAGTTGCTTAGGTGCATAAGGCTTAGCAGCCCAAATAACTCTGGGTGGAATTGTATCCCTTTGGTCATCTAAGTAACAGTTTTTAGTTATAGAAGTGGTATTTTGGCACTTACATGCAGCTAGGAATTCTGTTTCCCAGATGCATAACCCTGCATGTGTATGTGACTATATGCAAATGTACCTTGAAATAAAATGAAGGAGAATGACAATATTTGTACCTTATTTTAGCCCTAATAGCTAAGTGAGTAGGGCACTTGCCCAGGAAGTCAAAGACACAGTTGCTATACATCCCTTGCCCATAGGAAGTTTGAAACTGCATCTTTATGACATCCTAGTGCACTGTGCTAACCATCAGAAGTCAGGCATAATCCAGCTGCCTTTCTAGCACTCCTTTCAAAGCTGAGCCACTGCCCCTTGCATTTAATTGTCACTGAAAAATGAGTGCAATATAGTGGGGAAGTTCCTGCCCATCACTGGGGATAAAGATACTTAGGCCCCATCTCACTGAACATACAATTGCTATTTTCTTCTTGGCCACACATATATCCCTCTCTTGGTTGCCCAGGGGGCCAAATCCTATAGGAGTGTTAAAAAGAACTGTAGCTAATGCCTAACCTAGTGGCATAGTACTTAGAGGTAGTGTTTTGCGAAGTCAGCAAATTACTTGCTCAAATTCCTTTCATGGTGACAGGGACCTAGAAACTGGGTCTCTGGCTTCCCCACAGCCCGCTCAGCTATTTGGACTGAAAACTGGAAGACCACTCCTACTGCTCCATCTAATACCTGCTAGAAGGTTGTGGTGCACACCCATAAGGGGTGCTTACACATGCCTTGCCAATACATAGCTTTCTGTGTATGCACAGTCTACATATATAGTGCATATGCATACTCATTTTTCACATTGCTGGAAACAGAATGGCTACCTGCACCAAAATAACACACTTTGTCTTTCAAGTTACTTAGGTGTTTTTCAAATTTGTATCTGGTTATATAATGCACTTGCATAAGGAAGTGAATTAAAGCTGCATATACACTGTTATTTACAAAATATTAAGCACCTTCTTGTGAAAACAGGGCCTGAGTTTCTTGATTTTTTTAACATTTTAATAGGCTTGGAAGGAAGAACATGATCGACTATTAGAAGAAGAACAATTAAAGGAAGAGAAAAAAGCTGAAAAAGAAAAATCAGTTGGTAAAAAGAAAGGACAGAACAAAGAAGTATCAGTCACTGAAGAAAGCAAGAGCTCAGAGAAGAAAGTTTCCAAGGAGAAATCTAAAGATGAGCCAGCAAAACCACCTGAACTTGAAGAGCACAATATCCTAGCACCACCCTCTGAGAAAGGTTATCAGGTGAGAAGATTATAATATCACATTAGGAAAAGATTAACACTTTAAAAGGTCCCTGTAATAAGCAGAGGCCCAGCTGGGGACAGAGCTAGTCCCAGGTCCCACCTGGAAATAATCAGGAAATCAAGCTGGGACATCCCTCAAGAAGACAGCCCTGCCACACTGGCTATATAAGCTCAGACCAAGGATAGCTCTTGGGGAGCTGCTCTAATTAAAATGCTGCAGTGTCACATGTATTAGGCCCGCACACATTTAAAAATGGTTGTAGGATGCTTTAACTAAAGCTCACTCAATGAGCTATAGTTAAAGTGCTCCAGCAGCCATTTTTAAACCCATAGGGGCTTATACGCATGATGATGCAGCAATACTAGAGCGTTCTAATTAGAACACATCAGAGCTTGTGTGCAGAGCATGCCCAGATTACCAAGCTGTGCCTCTGGCCTGCTTAGAGTGCTTAAATCTGACTCAGTGCTCTGAATCTATGGGTTCTGCCCTCTTGCCTGTTTTTGTTGCTTTTTATAACTAGGAATCTACCTAAATCATGCCTGAAGTGCACTGCACAGGACAAAAGGTCAGCCTGGCAGATGGATCTGTCCACCCACCACCCACCCTCCCAGAAGGGAGTCTCCAACCACTACCACCCATCACTTCCTCTTCATGGCAGTGATCTTGATGCTTCCCCACCTTGGAGATTCCTGGCCTGGCCTCTTCCACCAATGGAATGAGCTCCTTCTCCTCCATTGCTAGTGCTTCATATCTTCTCCAGGCAAACCACTGCAGGTGGAGATGATGACTTCCTTCTGCTGCCAGAAGTCACAAGCTTCTAGCTTCCACTTTCCTGGGAGTCCATGCCCTCTTCCTTTTCTAGAACCACCTCTCGCAGTCCTTTCTCCACAGTCTTAGAGGTTTTCTCCAGCATGGAATCAATGAAGTCCTCATGGCAGAAGATGCTTTAGAGCATTGCTATCTCCTCCTATCTCTTGTCTTCTCTCCGAGGGACACCACCAGAAGGCACTGCTCACATTGCAGGCATTCCCCCACCTGGCTGACAGTGGAAGAAACCTCCAAGCTGCCATCTGCACAGAACCAAACCAGGACCTGGGTGGAAGCCTTGATGGTGTGTGTTCTTGCCTGGACAGACACCTCACAGGTGGAAGCAAAGTAAGAGCTGAAAGTGGCAGTGGCTCTGGGATTGTGATGTCCACCAGCCATGTCTCTGGTCTTCTAATCTGCTGCCTCTCACTTCCTTCCTCTGTTTCCAAGCAGACCTTCCCTCTGTAGCTGGCCTGTTTGATGTTCTTTAATCCTGAAGGGTTCCATTTTCCCTGCAAACATCTTTCCTCTCAGCAAGCTTACAGTGAAGGAAGGTGAGAGAGAGTTTCCAAGCAGACTCCCTAGAAAACTCCCCCTTGCTCTGGACTCTTGTTAAACAAGGGGCTTAAGTCTTGGTCTAGCTGCTGAGTTTTATCTGTATAAAATAAAACTGGATTCCAGGAATACCTCCTCTCTGGTCTCACAGATGCTGTGGAGGACACACATGGTGACGATGAGTTGCAGCAGGTTCTCCTCAGCCACTTCAAGGTGCACCCTGAGAGCACACCAGTGTACCTTGAGGCAGCCAAAGGTGCACTCTACCACCATATGGAACCTGCTTAGACAGTAGTTGGAGTGTTCCTTCTGGTGGTCCAGCTATCCCCATAGGGCTTCATCAGCCAGGGCAAGAGGGGGTAAGCTGAGTCACGAGTGATGGATCAGGGGTTACAACATTGCCAATGACACAATCAGGGAGTCTGAGGGTGTAGTGCCAACTCTCCATCAGGTTGGGGAGTAGGGAGTTTTGGAAGACACGGACACTGTGGGGTCTGCCCACCCAGCTAGCATAGATGTGGGTGAAGTGGCCCTGATGATCAACAACTCCATGCAAGATGACCAAGATGTACCCTTTGTGGTTGAAGAATGCCCAGCCATCCTGGGGTGAGCAGACAGTTGGGATGTGGGTACTGTCCAAGGCCCCTATGCAATTGGGGAAGCACATGCATCAGAAGCCAGCTACTACATCCTTCAGGTTGATAAGGTAGATGAAGCAGTTTGCCAGCCAAACGTCCTGGACAGCCTCTCCAGCCCTGGACAAACCAACACCAAACTGGTTGGCAATGTAGCAGAGACTGCCAGGAGCGGCCAGCTTCAAGAGAGCAATGCCACTTGCTTCTCCAGATTGAGGGTTGGCTGCATGAAGATGTCTTGGTGAGTGACATTCTCATGCAGGGGACACTTGGATGATGATATCCATGGAGGTGTCCTATCACATATGGAAGGTCTGGAGCCACAACTCATCACCCCAGGTGCCAAGGACTATCTGCTCCCACCAGTTGGTGCTGATGGGGTGCACCTACACCCTGTGCTTGACAGGTGGAGGTGGTTCTAGAATACCCCGGTGCTCATAGCATACAGGATGGCTCCATCATCACTGTCCAAGAGAAATCTGGAGCCACAGTCATGGATGCTCAGCAGGCAGGGGTGCAGAGGCACAACAGACAGCTCAGTGTGTGTTGGCATGCAGATGCATTCTAGAGCCTCCCACTGCCACATAAGGTTTAGCAGGTCATGTGTGATGTATCATATGAGAATCACACACGGTGATCAGCAGGACCCGATGCAGCTCCAGAGTCTCCCTGTTTGTGCACAGAAAGTGGGAAGCCATGGCATGGTGCGGGATGACTTGCAAAAGCCCCAAAATTGCCTCGCCTGCACTGACAACCAGACAGACTGGAAACATGGCCAGCTAGCTGCCTGCATCCATGCAGGCTGGGGGGGGGGGGGGGGAGGGGGGACAATCAAGGCAGAGGATAGTAGGGGCCTGGCCAGGTCCCCCTCCTTAGGGAGAGGGTCCTTGGTGCCTGCTGACACTGGCTTTGGGCATGCAGAACCCCCCAGAGCTCCTCCACCTGCCCTGACAGCTGGCCATGCAGATGGGCATGGGGGGTGGGGCAATGGAGCCAACAATCGGGGCCAGGGAGCCTCTGGCCAGATCCCCCCCTACAGAGAGGCTCCCTGGTGCCCAATAGGTACAGACCCCCAAGAGCCCCTCCACACACACACACACACACATATACACAGGGGAATGCCAGGTGGGTTGGGGAGGGAGTGTGGTGTCATGGCTGGCCAGCTCCTGGTAGCACAGCAATCAGGGAGGCCAGTTCACTGTTAAAAAGCTTGGGCCACTGTTACGAAGTGGCAGGTGGGCTGGGGGGTAGGATCCGAGCACCAAGGATGCGCAGGCCTGGGGAGTAGGGAGTAGCCTGGTGAGGCCCACACAGCTTTGGGCTGGGACCCCCTCACCCCCCCACCCCAGTCCTCCTGCCACTGCTTATCAGTGGCAAGCTCAGGCTGCTGTCAGAAAATATTAGGCTAGCTGGGGGGGGGAGTAGGGGTGGATCTAAGCCCCAAGGCCACACAGGCCTTGTCTGACATTCCTCTGGACCCCAGCACAGGTATCTGGGCTGGATTCATGTGGTCTTGGGGCTTGCATGCCACCCCCAGCCTGCCTGCTGCTCCTTGTCAGTTATGGCACCCAGCTAGGCCAAGTACTGTAACTGACAAGAAGCAGCAGGCAGGCTGTCTAGGGGTGGAATCTTGATCCCCAAGGCTGCATGGGCCCAGTCCAGCACTTCCCTAGACCCAAGCAGGGGTAGTTTGGCTGGGCCCACCAGCATTGGGACAGGCACCCCATCCCCCAGCCTGCCTGCTGCTGTCAAAAAGAAGCAGATGGGCTGCAGGGTGGGATCTGAACCCCGAAGCTGTGAGGGCCCAGTCTAGCACCTCCCAGACTCCAGCAGGGGTACACAAGCTGAGCCTATTCAGCCCTGAGGCTCTCATGTGACTGCTATGCCAGATTTTTACAGGAATGTAGAATAACAAACTGGGCAGATGATTGTAGATGTTGCAAGAGGGGTGATTTTGATACCAAAGTTTTGTTTTTAAAATCTCTACTCTGTGTCCCTGATGCATTTTTTTTCTCAAAGTTAATTATGATATCATGAACCAATTTGCACTGTCTCCCCCATTTATGGGCTTTTCATTCCCAGGTTTTTGACTGTCCAGACCGCATTGATTCAAGATTGTTAAAGATTCATTGGCTGACCAGAGAAATCCAGAGCAGTCTACGGGCTAAAAGAGGGGCATATAAAAAGTGGAAAAGGGGAGAGATTACTAAAGCGGAGTATACCTCCTCTGCTCACGCTTGTAGGGAGGCAGTTAGACAGGCCAAAACTACCATGGAGCTGAGGATGGCATCCCAAGTTAAGGATAACAAAAAATTGTTTTTAGATATATAGGGAGTAAAAGGAAGGCCCAGGGTGGAATAGGACCTCTACTAAATGGACATAAGCAATTGGTGATGGACAGGGGGGACAAGGCTGAACTCCTCAATAAGTTCTTTGCCTCAGTGTTCCTAAGCGAGGGGCAAGACAAGGCTCTCACTGGGATTGTAGAGAGGCAGCAGCAGGGCACCAGACTACCAAGCATAGACCCTGAGATGGTGCACAGGCACTTGGAGGAACTGGATGCGTTTAAATCAGGAGGCCCGGATGAGCTTCATCTGAGGGTACTGAAGGCACTGGCTGACGTCATTCCCCAGCCACTGGCGAGAATATTTGAACACTCATGGCGCACGGACCAGGTCCCGGAGACTGGAAAAGGGCCAATGTGGTCCCCATTTTCAAGAAGGGGAGGAAGGAGGACCCTGGCAACTATAGGCCAGTCAGTCTCACCTCCATCCTAGGCAAAGTCGTTGAAAAAATTATCAAGGCTCACATTTGCGAGAGCCCGGTAGGACAAATTATGCTGAGGGGAAATCAGCATGGGTTCGTAGCAGGTAGATCATACCTGACTAATCTAGTCTCTTTTTATGACCAGGTTACAAAACACCTGGATGCAGGAGTAGGGGTTGACGTCGTTTATTTAGACTTCAGGAAGGCCTTCGATACAGTATCCCACACTATACT